GGAGGAGTCCTGGAAATGTAACAGCTTGGGTACAAATCTGGGCTTTTGAAGCTGCAACTTTATGGTCACAGTCTGCTAAATGGTTGAGGGCATCAATGGTGTTCTTCAAACATCCTTCTGCATGGGTCGAGTGATGAGGAGAGCCCACATATAGTAATAGTGTGCCTTTCCGGAGCTGTAGCTCATCCAGGTCCTGGCTTAGTGTTTCCCAGAAAACAGTGGGGGAATTTTTAAACCCCTAGGGGAGGACTGTCCAGCAGTACTGAGTCTTGACCAGAGCCTCTGGGGTCTTGCCATTCAGAGGCAAAAAGTGGTAGAGTCTGGGTTAACCAGCACACAGAAGAAAGCATTTTTAACCATTCACTGTCCCCAGGTATCCCATTAATCCAAGTAAAGGGTTGGGTACGGTGGGATGTATGTCCTGGGGAATTTCATTTATGGCGCATAAGTCCTGGACAAATCGGTACTCCTCTGTTTTAAGGTTTCTTTACTGGCAACATAAGGATGTTGTATGGGGAGCGATGGTCAAATCAAACCAAATTTAAGAAATTTCTGAATAAGTGGCCTAATCCCCTCAAGTGCCTCCTTCAAGGGTATTGCTTTTTATGGGAAATCTTTGTCCCTGGTTTCCAGTCAGTCTTCATTGGTGAATCCCGTTTTGGCTTCCCCAGTTCTCCTGAACCCATTCGAATGGTTGTGCTTGGCTCCCTAGTTCAGCTGGCTTTGGGGCAGGTTCGGGCTTTCCTTGATCCTGTACAAGACATTGCCGGACACGCTCCCGTGGGACCTGTAGATGGAGCTGTTGCTCATCTGGGAGAAAAGTGATCTAGGTCCCGCCCTACAAGAGGGATGGGACCCTTGGGGATGCACACAAATGTCTGAGTTAGACGTGTGTCACCAGTGGCACATTCCAACAAGTTCAAAAAGGCTTGTTGTTCCAGAGTTGCAGAGATTCTAGTTACCGCCACTCTTTGAGATGAAGGTTTAGTTAGAGGGGCATGGAGGACAGAATAGGGGGCTCCTGTATCAGTCAGAGAATCTCCTTTTTGGTCCCCCACCCCCACCAGCTAGTTTTGCTCAAGGCTCTTCTTTGGGGAGGATAGAGATCAACAGCTGAAGCCACTGAGCCTCTGGGCCTGTCTGACTTCCTCAGAGTCCATTCCCTTAGCATCACAGTGAGCGCCTTTTGCCCTTTCCTTTCGGACCTCTGAGCCTCCTCCCTTTTTTGGGCATTCATTTTCCCAGTGGCCTTTAACCTGGTAGTTTGCACATTGATCTGGGCCTAAGGGGTTTCTTTTTTTTTATCCCCTTTCCTGTTGACCCTCTGGCCTTCGGCCTTTGGTTTTTAGCCATCTGGCCTTTACTTTACCTGTTAAAATAGATGTAAAAGGCAATGTCAACTAGTTGAGAAGGATTCATCCCCAGAAGCCCCTTCAACCTTCTGTAGCTTTTCCCTAGTATCTGGAGCACTTTGGCCAATAAAAGCCCAGTTTACAATGCAAACGTTTATTGGTTGGGAAAGGAGGGGCTTTAGTGTCTGTATGTTTCCAGTAGGCCTGACAGAGTCCTTCCTGAAGAGCAGAAAGATCCTCGTCCAATTTTTGTCGGACTGCTTTACCATATTCAAGCTCTTCTGTTTGGGTACCCCTTTCCTGAACCCTCAAAAATGCAACTCTGATGATGCTCCAGCTGGGGCAATCCCCAGTCATCAGGATCCCAGTTGGGTGTGACTAGGGGGACAGCTCCTGCCAGCTCTGGAGTATGGCCGGATCATCCTGACGGAGCCTGTGTGCTTTCTCTCTAGCGCTGTCATCAGCTATCCCCTCTTATTCCCAGTTAAAAGGACGTTAAACAGAGCCTGGATATCAGCCCACCTGGGATTATGAGTAACAAAGTAGAAACTGTCAGGTCCGTAATTTTGGTGGGATCATCCTGACAAGAGGGCTTGGAATTCTTCCAATGAAGCAAATCTGAGGTAGAGAAGGGGTGTGGGCCCAGAAGAGTCTTGTGGGTTGTCCAGTTTCAGTGGCTCCTGATGGCAAAGTGGAAATTGCTCTGACAGGGAAATAGCTTTATCCTCTCCAGGTTGAGTGCCTTGCTTCGTCCTCGAGGGAGATGGGGCAAGCATCTCAAGCCTGTTTCCCCTAAGACTCCAGGGTGGGGGAAGCTCTTATGTTCTTGGAGCACTCGGAGAAGGTCTTGCCTTACTAGGAGACTGCAAGGCAGCCTCTTCCTCATCTCTCTCCTTCCATTCCTGATCCTTAATGACATCCTCCCTCTGAAATATTAACTTGGTCCCTTCTTCATTTTCATCAGAATCAGAATTATGCAGTGACATAAAAGCCTGCATATATGGTATCTCTCCCCACTTCCCCGATCTTTGACAAAACAATCCCAGTTGTACTATAGTAAAATAATTCAAAGACACGTTCCACAGCCACCTCTCTCCAGGATCTAAATTATTCATAGACCAAGCAGTATTCCAGTAAAATACCATTTTCCTTTTTGTTGTAGGTAGATATGGCTTAGTCCTAGTGGGCTGTCCTTTGGGCTGAACCACTGCACCCATTTCCCAAGCAAATTAAACCAAACTAAACACTGAAAAAAAGGCATCAACAAACAACAAAAACACTTCTCTGTACAATAATTACACTACGAATGACAGACAGATGAAGGCTTTCCCTTTGGACAGCCAGACAGGGTGCCCTGTACCTCGGAGCCATTCAGGCTCAAGAAGAAACCAACAGTCCTGTCTCTAGGACCGCCCGGAGCCCGTTGGGTGCAGAGACCAGGCAAGAACCATTGAAGCCGCTTGCAACCAGGCTCCATCCAGCTGGGAGGCAACAGATGCCTCCCCTGAAAACACAGGAGGTTGCAGGTGCTGAAGATGGAAAATTCCTGGCCTTGGTTTCAGCCCCACGTACCCCCTGGGCCGGCAGCCAGCGGGACTTCTGGTACTTACCAAGAAAAGGTCCTACTCTGCAGTCCCAGCGGATTTTGAAACTGGACGCTAAACGGAGTCCATGGGCTGGCTGTCCCTCCTGGGCCCATAAGCAGAGGCAGGCTTGAGTCTTTTATGTTCATTTATTCAGTTTGCTGGCCATTGGAGAGAGCAGCAGGTATGATACCTTGAAAAACTGCTCTTAACATCTCCTGCCAGTTGGCCGGAATATAAGGAGTGGAGGGAAAGGAGGCTGCGTGCAGCTGAGGAATGCAGCAGGGGAGGGGAAGAGGGTATGTGCTTATTAGCACATCTCTCCCAGGATCTTCAAGTGCGATGTCACAACAGCCATCCTGTTCCTGGAATTGGAAAAAGGACAGCGTTCCTGAGGCAAACTCCCGGAGGGCTCAGCATCTGGGCCCAGTGACCTGGTCAAAGTGTAATCTTGGGAGGATCAGAGATGATTTAGAATAGCTGTGAAATCCCTAGCGTCCTACTCTGTTCCCTCCCCCGATCAAATACTCTCTTGTTCAGTATTTCCCAAACTTTTGACATATGTGTACCCCTTCTATAATTTTCGTAACGCTGAGTACCCCTCGTACTCATGAGAACGTACAATTAGGTGCAGCTAAGCACGGTGCAGTGCATATCCCCACCAAACTCCGGTGCAACGCGTACCCCCACCAAACTCTTCCCGTACCCCTGAGGGTACGCGTACCACACTTTGGGAAACACTGCCTAGTTCAACAAGATGTAGCTGATTGTAAAATTCGTGAAGTATTAACTTATAACCTGGGGTGAGAGTGGGCTGGAGTGGGTCACTGGGGGAAAGAGGGAACATATATACTTTCAACAATAAAGAATTATTTTTTAAAGTACTAAATTGTACTTTATATTTTATTAAATAAGTTTGTATTGTTGTTCTCTAGCATTCCCTCCCTCCCCTGAAATAATGATATTTGGCTGTATGCATTGACAATAATGGTCTGTGTGGAAAGGGAGAGAATAAATAAAACAATGTGTCTCATTTTCTTATTTCCAAGTGTGAAATTCAGTTCCTAATGAGATGTCCTCAAACAGTGCTGCTGACCATCAAAATATATGCTCTAGATATGAGTGAGGACAGTGAAGTGAGGACATTTACATCAACATAAAGTGGAAAAATCCAGAAGATTAAAAAGCAACATATCTCAGGCCACATGGAACTAATTTTTTATGTATCTTTCCTCTCCTCTTAGAAGGAATAATTTTTGGAAGTGGGCAGTAAGGTTCATCTCGAGCATTTAAATTTTTTTTATTTTCCATTACAGTTACATTCAATACTATTTTGTATTAGTTTCAGGTGTGAAGCATAGTGGTTAGATAATCATATACTTACAATAGCCATGTGTCAGAGAAAGCTGACTGTGCCTGAGCTGTACATCTGTGACTCAGGAGCATGGAATTGAAAACATTAGATATGCTAATTAATGTGTCAGCTATTAGTAATCATAATGATAACTATATATTGTCAGTATGGCATTTTCTATCTCAGGAAATGCAGCTCTTTCTTCAGTACACTATCAGGAATCAAGGAAAATAATTATTAGCCCTAAACCTGCTTGACCCTGCCAAGTCTTTATACTCAGCGTGTGAGCCCATTGTAAAGAGATGTTTTTATAGATGTGCTTGCCTATTAGTCCATTAAAAGCCAGAAACACTTTAAAAAAATGTAACTCTGCAAATGTGGCACTATATTTGGGTAATTGTATATCTTGACAAAAAATACTCACCATTTAATAGCCTAATGAATAATCTAGTTTTTTCTCAGGTCTGGAGAACTTTCCATTAATTTTCTGAGACATTAATATTAAAGATATAAAACTGAGAAAAGGCCACGAGTCTTTATATAAGAATTTTTTAAGTGTTTAGGAATGGAAAAATATAACCAAAATATGCAATTAACAATTACATAAAAGTGTTCTATATCAATTAGTTTCTCAAATCCCAACAGCATGGAATTAATCTAATTCCTCCTAACAAATCGTTCTCCAATGTTTTTCCACTTATTTTTCCCTAGATTAAAAAAGAAAAAACAAGCCAAACAAAATGCAGAGACAGCCTCAACTTTGGCTACAAGGACTCATACTGGGAAAGAAGATGTTAATACGGCCATTTTAGAGCAAGACAAGTGCAACATTGCTGTGGAAGCGGAATATATCACTGACGAGAAAAAAAAGAGAAAAAATAATCAGTTAAAGGAGATGAGACGTACAGAACTAAAGAGATACTATAGTACTGGTGAGTATTGGTGGCATTGTTGCAGAATTTTCATTTAAAAAATATGTAGTAATTTTTAAGATTATAATTTGTAAGTGATTATAATAATAGTAACAGTTTATTGAGTGGCTTCTATGTGCCAATAGCCCTTGCTTTCTATGCTTACCTTTTGTAAAGGGATGAGAATGAAATAATGTTTCTGTGTCTCCTTCAACTTTGTGTTCCCATTATCTAGCTCAGTGCCTAGCAGGTAGTGTGTACTAATAAATATTTGTCAAATGAAAGGTTACTTCTCCTGTGTGCGAAATATTTTTCATTATATTTTCAACTATATAATAAAGAGTTAACATGCTAATTAGACCTAACAGCAAAATGACTTTCTGGACAACCTTCCAGACAAAATGCTGTGAGGAGAGCCAGCCAAGATTTGAGGGGCTGCAAGGGCTGACCGAGGCTGTGAGGGGCTGCAAGGGCCAGCTAGGGCTATGAGGGGCCAGCTGGGGCTGCGAGGGCCAAGCCCCTTGCACAAATTTCATGCATCGGGCCTCTAGTATATATATACACACATAGCCATAAAAGTGTTGGTAGAAATGGGTGCACCTTTGGCATCAGCTAGGCAACAGAAAATAGATGGAGATGTGGTTTAGCATCTGTCAGCTTAAAAACAAAAACAAAAACGAATTGGGAATTTTAGTTTAGGGGAATCACAGTGTTCAGCAGTTTCTCGGAATAGTTGTTGCATCTGAAACTGCATTAGGAAAAGTGGCATATCCGGCATGCTGAAAGTGGTAATCCTGCTTTACTTGGATCATCCATCTCATACTTTCTATCGCTGCCACGGTCACATGTAGGCCTAGAGTATGTTCAGAAGAGAACGCAAAGAAAGGGAACCCTGTTGTGGCATACAAATTGCAGTACTCAAGATTGTGAGATGGCGAGAAGACAGGGCTCTCTGAGAGCCTGTTGCAGTACAGTATGGGAAACATGGTCTTAGAGCAGAGGGCCTCACAGTGGTCATGGTTAATGCCAACGTGACCAGGAGACAGGTCTTGGTTAATACAACTTTTTAATGATAAAATGGGCCGCCACTGGGTTGATAGTAAGTGAGGCTGTGCTGACATTGCTCCAACAGAGGCAGATGAGGTTCTATAGCAGAAAGCCTGTGGTCTCCAGCATTCCGGTGGGCTAATGTGAGATTATATCATGTATTACACAGCTTAAAGGATGATCTTAATCTCAAGCCTTTCAGGACTTTATAAAAAACTACAGCTGCCAACCTACTGAAAGACACTTCTTTGTGATCAGTAAACATCCTCTTAAAATTTAAAGTGTTGAATATTATCCCTTATTTTCAAAAAGAGGAAGAGGATTAAGGAAAATTTCATTTTGCATCTTCATTTACATATGATTTACACATTGGGCATTTGTGTTTTTTATAATTGTGCAGTTTAAAATACTAGGGTGGAAAAAAAGTAGGTTTATAGTTGTTCATATGGAAATTAATGCAACAACTAATAAATAACAGTACAAAAACAAATTGTGTTTTGAGTACTTACAACTGTGTACTTATAACTGTTAATTTACTTTTGCTCATCCTGCGTGATGTTTTTTCATCCTTACTTGAAATGCTGTTGCTTAAGAGGTGAAATGGAGACATGTAGGTCTGTAGGTTTCCCCGAAGGAGACTATAGTCCTACCCATTGAGGTATCTTTTTAGTGATGATACTAGTCTAACTGTGGATGTTCCATTAAATAGCTTTTCAACTTGGTGCCTTCTGTTGCCTGTGTAACTCTGGGAGTCTGAAACAATATACTTCACTCTACCTTACTAACTCCACTTGACTTCACAAAATTAGCTCAGTCATCATTTCTCCCAGGAAGTCCTCCCTGCTTTTGTTCAGGTTAGACTTCCCTTTTATGGATTTATTTATCTGCTTCCCTATTTGTAGGCAGCCATGACTCAGACCCTATATTTTTCGCTTTGTGCATCATAGGTGGTCTTTAAATGTGCATGAGTGAGTGGATGAATTAATCTGTAGATGAATGAATACTTTTTTGGTTTGCTTGAGTTTCAGTGAAAATTCTGGAGGATATTTATCCAGACAATATATTCAAAACAATAGTTGGGTCAGAATTATTCTGTCATCTTATTTGGTAGCAATAAGTAGAGATGCCATTGTAGTTTTTCATCTGTTCTCAGGAATGGCAGTGGTAACAGTGCTTGGAGGCTGGGGCGTTTCCGTAGGAGAATCCAGTGCGTAGATGAAACTATTAGGTGGGCCTTTGAATTCCAGGCTTTCTGTTCCTTTTCATGTCTGACTCTAGCTGACTAACCCGTCTTGGCAGGTTTGCTTGATCTTGCAGTCCTGACCTGCATGTTCCCTAGATCCCTATCCCAGGATGTGGTTCTGTACCACTAGGTGGAGCGTGAGACTGCAAATGAATGGTGATCCCAGTTCCAGGTCACTGCCTTCAGTGGTTCTAGGCTGAGGAGAAGTCCCTAAATTGGGAGGATCTTGTCTGTCACACTAAGGATTTGGACTTTATTCCTTGGGGGAACTCCATCAACTCTTTGTTTAGAGATGACAAATCTAAAGGTAATGGTGGAAGTGAGCTGACCAGGTGGTGGGAAACTGAGTCAGATAAGATAAGCACCCTGAAGAGAGATTTTGCTCTTAGAAACAGTGGTATTTGGTTATTAATATAGGGTGTGAGAGACTAAAAGAACAGTCAAGAATTTTCAAACCAGAAAGCTCGGGAAGAAGGGAAAGAAGATAATAAATGGAAGCATACTTTGACAACATAATAAAAAGGTTAGCATGGGTGGTGTAGTCAGGCAGACTAAATAGCCATCTCAAACTGTGGATAAAGAAAAATTGAATTTATTTAAGGGAAGGGGATGGGGAATGGGATAACCAAAGGGAAGGGCTACACAGAGAAAAGGGGACGGGTTAGCCCAGGACCAGCTGCTGCTGCTCATTGCTTCCCTGGTTGCAAGTCTCATGGAGTTCCTAGAGGTTGGGGGATGCGTGCCTGTTGGGGATGGCAGGGGTGTGCTCCTCAGAGGGAGAGCACCCACTGGGTCCTTTGTCCTGAGTGTATTTATCTCTCTCTTGCTGGTGGAAATCTTAGGGCAGGTCTCAGGGGGAGGGTCTTAATAGAATATTCATCAGCTTCCCAGGTGTGCTCTTTCAGTGTCCTGGTCTCACTGATTTGTTGGTGCCAGGGGTCATGACTCAATGTCCTGAGACAACCACAGGGTCACTTGTCTGGTTTTGCTACTTTTCTGGAGCTGAAATACAGCTGAGGCCTAGATGTTATCTTTAGGGAAGAAAAGGTCAGGAGGTCTAGACTTTTTTATCCATTGCTTTGACTACAGATTCTAGAACAAAGGTGACTATAAAACACGATAATAGGAATTCTTGTATTTATATTGGTTAGTGTTTTACTTTAAAAAAAATAAACATTTTATTGTGTGTGTGTTTTTGTGTGTGTGTGTGTGTTTTGTTTTTGTTTTTTGTGGTGTTTTTTTTTTCACAGAGAGGAAGGGATAGAGAGTTAGAAACATGGATGAGAGAGAAACATCGATCTGCTGCCTCTTGCACACCCCCTACTGGGGATGTGCCCACAACCAAGGTACATGCCCTTGACTGGAACTGAACCTGGGACCCTGGAGTTCACAGGCCATCGCTCTATCCACTGAGCCAAACCGGTTAGGGCGGTGTTTCACTTTTAATATTTGCTTTTGGTTTCTAAAATAAGGACTCATCTCAGTGTATACAGGAATGCTTTAGGAGAGTTTAGAGTAGTACTTCATTTCTAAAGAGTCCTTTGATGAACAGGTGGTTACCTGGAGTACATTCTGCTCATTGTTGCCTTGCCCTGCCAAGACAGTTAGCCTCCAATGAATGGCAGGGATTTCCTCTTCATGCTTGGGGTTTCCAAATTGTTTCCATTATGTTTGTTGTGTTTTTGCTCTCAACTCCACTTCAGAGTTTATTTTTATGACCGTAAGTACTTATGGTTTAGCTTTGCATCACATTCGATTAGCTTCTTTGTTGTCATTCAGTGGAGTGGAAGATATTATGCTCAGAGGCCTTAAGAGCTTTGCTGGCATTGCTCTCAGGCACTTGTCTTCCACCGAAGTAGGAACGAAGGGACGAGGTGGAGCTTGTGCAATGCCTTTGGTTCTCCCCCAACCCCCTCACCCACACACACACACACACACTTTCTTCTGTAAAACTGGGTGGGGGCCTCACTAGGGCTTTAATTCAGGCTGCATTTTTGTAATTAATGAGCTACTGCTCCCATGGAAGTGACAGCATGAAGTCATTCTGTTTTCATTCTTGTGGTAAATTGCTTTCCATACGTACCCTTTAGGGTTCCATTACTTTTTTTTTTGCGGGGGGGGTCTATTACTTTTATTTTTTTCACTTAAATTTTTATTCATTGCTATATGTCTCTCTGGTTTTCAGTATCTGGGTTATATTAAGATGTATTTAATCATAATATTGAGGTTGACTAAGCTGATAGGTTGGCCACTTCTGATCTGTAAAAACAGCAAAATCTATGATCCAACTTAATATATTATTGGACAGATGAGTCTTTCCAAGTTTTTATTATCCTATATATAAAGATGTAATATGCAAATGGTCATTATGCTATGTACTAGTTTTACTCTAACTTCACCATTAGACATTATCACTTTACTTTAATAACGATAAAACATTAGCTGTTTATTTGTGCCATTTTATTACCGTTAACAATCATTTATTCAAGTGTTCATTGATGAATGGTATATTTTTTTAGAAGAGTGGTCTATCTGTACCCTTAGTCCATTTTATTTTGGTGTCGTTTTTATAAATAGTCAGTTTGAAAGTGGTTTTAATATACTATACATTACCCTATGTTCAATTCCCTAGATTAAATTCTTCATTTACATATATTTTATTCTTCAGATGACAATCAAAACAAAACGCATGATAAAAAAGAGAAGAAGATGGTGGTTCAGAAGCCCCATGGTACTGTGGAATACACTGTAAGTATAAACAAGAAGTATGAATGTTTAATACTATTAGATTTATTTTCCCCCAAAAAAATATTTTTATTCATTTCAGAGAGGAACAGAGAGGGAGAGAGATATAGAAACATCAATGATGAGAGAGAATCATTGATGGCTACCTCCTACTGGGGATTGAGCCCGCAACTTGGTCATGTGCCCTTGACCGGAATCAAACCTGGGACCCTTCAGTTTGCAGGTCAGCACTTTATCCACAGAGCCAAATCAGCTAGGGCAAACAATGAAGCTTCTTAAGACCTGTTCTAAGTCATTCTCTTCTCTGCATACTTTCCCCCCTGGATAATCTCATGTAAACTTGTAACTTGAATTACCTATGATATACCAATGACTCCAGTTTTAGGACTCCTTCCCAGACATGCTTTCTGAGTTCTGGAACCATAGATTCAGTTGACTTCTCAACATATCTGCTTAGACCTTCATGCTGGGTCTTTTTTTAAAGCAGCAATGGCCCTATCATCCATACCTTTCTACAAGCCAGAACCTTATCCTTGACATTTTCCCATTACTCTCCATGTTTATTCTTGCTTTTTGTAATCACCCAGCAAATCTAGGCCAGATCTTTCTTCATTTTATTCTCTCAGAGAATTATATCTCTTTACATGTTTTTCTTGGTTTAACATTATTTGTTCACATGTGAGATTATCATTTTAATGTCTGTCTTGTGCCTTAATGCATATATCCACTAGACACTAGGGGATAGACACGAGACCCCGTTTTGGCCAACATTATTGCTGCTGCTTGCAGGGTGCAGACCTCCGTACTGCAGAATCAGTCGCTGAATAGTGCTGTGCATGTGTTCATGACTGGGCCTCCACGTTATGTGGCGCCTACTCACCACTCTCCCTGTACCGTGAGCTCCTGGGACTCAGGAGCTGTTTCTGTTTATCCTAGGCCTGGCATAATGTGAGCCGCTGGATTATAGATCTGTCTTAATTCACATGGAAATAGCATTGCTGAGGAGTGTGCTGACTCTAAGAAGAAATTAAATGCTATGCCTGGTTGCATTTTCATCATGTTTATTTAGTTTCCACCGATGATTTGTGTGCATGCCAGACTCAATATAAAGCAAGCAGGAGGACCAGATCCCTCCCTGGTGACTCTTTGGAGCGGTACATCTTCTCCAAACTTCCACAGAGGCACAGGAAAGAGCCCTGGCACAGGCATTTCTTGCTCAGTGCTCTGTGAGCATATCTAAGCATCTTTCTGTGGTTTACAGGCTTAGTGCTTTCCAGGAAGGATTTGGGGTGATTATAGAGCTCACATTACCACTGTGTTTACCATATGTCATTGATCCTACAATGCCTAGCACAGTGCTTAAGGAGTGCGGGAGTGTTTGTCATTGATAACAAATTGTCTAAAGCCGTCTGTGTGTCCTCAGGCCTCTCCACAGAAATGGTGTTGTTTGCTAGGAGATGCTTCACCTGGCATCACCAAACAATGCTGTGAGAGTCCAGATAAACTCCTAATTAATTCATATCAACAGGTGGTCTGGTTAGTAATGCAGAAATGCCTACCTGTTTGGTTCATGTTATGGATATTAGTTTCACTTGGCAAGTGATTTTGTGTACTTGATTGGAAGTAAAAAGCCATCTATAACTTCGTATTTAGAGAACCATGCTAGGTCTTACTAGATTGCTTATATTGCTCTTGAGCTGTATATAGTCAAGCATTCTGGTAAGTTTCAAATTTTTAGTGATAATCAGCATCCCCCCTGGGGATCTGTGACTTGGTTCTCTATGTATGTTCTATCCCTGTGTCATAGCTCTAGATTGTTAAAGTCTTCCCTTTCCTTAACTCTCTACAAGTTTTTTCATAAAAATATGAATTGCTATCAAGCAGAAATTATGATTATCTCTATTTGGTGGATGAAGAACCTGAAACCCAGGGAGGTTAAGCAAATGACCCAAGGCCACACAGCTATCACGTGGAAAATCTGGAATTCAGGACCAGCAGTTTGGGTTGTAGTCTGCATCCTCCGTCTGTGACATGTCTTGACTCTAAATTCTGAAAATCCCTGGATTTACATGTATAGGGGTGGGCAAAAGTAGGTTTCTAGTTGTAAGACAAATAAATAATACAATCTATCATAATAAGAGGGTAATATGCTAATTAGATTGAACGTCCTTCTGGCATCCTTCTGAATGAAGGCAGGGCTGGAGCAGAGCCTGGGTCCCTGGTGCCTGGCAGCAGCAGTTGGAGTGAAGCAGCAAGGGTCCCAGGTGCTGGAGGGAAGTCAGTGCTGGCAGCCGGGGGAAGGAAGGCCTATTCTTGCACAAATTTTCATGCATTGGGCCTCTAGTTAATAACTAATAATACAAAAATAAACTCACATACAACTATAAACTACTTTTGCCTACCCTGAATTTTATAAATATCTAATATTGGAAAAATATATCTATTTAAACTTTTTTTTTTTCATTTTTAGTATAGATAAGTTTGCTCAGGGTAGAAGTTAGAGCATATATTGTTACGTTTTCAGTGATTTTTTAAAAAAAATCTATTTATATCCTAACTTTTTCTAGGAATGTTTTTAAGTAATTTTAGTGTCACCTGTACGTATGAATTTGATTGGCCTGGTTGGTGGGGTTTTGATGGAGAGCAGTGGTGAGTTTAATTCTTTCCATGGGTTCACAATCTCCTGCAGCCATATCAAATCTCCTCCCACCCCAAGTTCTGCTGGTGGAGACAGCTCTGCGCACAGTGCTGTAGTAGGAGCGTCTCCATGATGGTCCCCGGTGTAACCTCCCACTAACGAGGTCCTTCCCATGGTCCTGGAAGAGACACTGAACTGACCAGGGACAGTGACTTCCTTTTCTTGGGTGGAGCTTTTTTTTTTACTGTGAAGTTTCACATTTTATCACTGCCCTCTTTATTCCTATTCTCTCTGTATCAGAGAGAAAAAAACACCATCTATCACCGTTTATAGATTTATGAATTAACACCAGTCTGTCTGACGGGGAAGTTGTCTGTCATTTTCAATGACAGTGAACAGTTATTGGTAGCTAACCTGGATTTCTTTCAGCTTTTGATTATATTCATGTGTCAAATGTCTGAGTATCTTTTACGTGTCAGGCACTGTAGGGGGAAATGGCCATTCACAGGCCACCAGGCAGTTGCCTACAGTACAGTGAAGAGACGGGCAAGTGGTCAGAAAACTGAGGAAGTAAGTAATCCCATTTCCCCGATGGGAGATACTGTGTGCATGTTTTATTTCTTTTCTTCTTCCAGTTTTGTGTTGTATCTCATGGACCTCTGCTCCATACACCAGAGTTGTGCACAGTAAGTTTAGAACAGAGCAACTGAAGATAAAGGAGCCCAGAAATGAATAACATATAAATAACATTTTCCCTTAAGACTTGAGAATGAGCCCTCGCTGGTTTTCTCAGTGGTTAGAGCATCAGCCCACAGACTGAAGGGTTGTGGGTTTGATTCTGGTCAAGGGCACATACCTCAGCTGTAGGTTCAATCCCCAGCCCTGGCAGGGGCACATACAGGAGGCAACCAACCAATGTGTCTCTTTCACATCGATGTTTCTCTCTCTGTGTCTCTCCTCCTCCCTCCACTCTCTCTAAAATTCAATGGAAAAAATATTGTTGGGTGAGGATTAACAAAAATAAATAAAGGAATAAGTAAATAAATAAAAAAGAATTGAGAATGTATTCATTCTTTTTTATAATATGTCTAGATGTATTTATTGATTTTTATTCATTCTTATCACAAATAGATTATTGTCTACCAAAAAGAAGTTTTTTTTGTTGTTGTTCTGTTTTGCTGTATATATTGAATCTTGTCTGAATTCTAGGCTGGAAGCCAGGACACCCTAAACTCCATAGCACTGAAATTTAACATCACTCCCAATAAACTAGTGGAAATGAATAAACTTTTCACACATACTATTGTTCCAGGCCAGGTAATGATTTTCTTGTTGCATATTACTTTCAAAATGTTACATTTATCTTCTATTGCCATTTTTAATGACTCACTATTAGTGTCACAGGGTTATCATCAATATGCATTGGGTTGAGTCTTTCCTTTAGGTCCAAGAATTCTGAAAGCAGTACTTGTGAACTGTTCAGAGATGAATGCTTTGTGGATAATTGACACAGTTTCCTTAACCATTACTAGTATATATTATAGATTCCCCCCTCCCAAGGCATTAAAAAAAGTTTTTCCTATAGAATATCACACAGATATTCTTAGAATGTTTAATTTAGAATTGCAAGTTTTAGTTTAGTCCACTCCTGGGATATATTATGGCCATCATTTTATTTTAAACTAGGCATAATTTTTTGTCATTTTTGTTTTGATTTAATACTTTTTTGACAAAAATAGTCAATTTAGCCAAAAGGCACAGACATTCATTCAGCAGGACCATCAAGAAAAGGCCACAGAAACTTTTAGTACTCTTTTCGTTAAACTGGATGCAACTGACAAATTGTATAATTGTCCATTCTTGATTAATCCATAAAATTTTAAAAATATTTTCTACGTAATAAGATATTCTTGTATTTCTATATGAAAACTCTGTTTAGACAATGTAATTGACCCAGTCATTGGCAGATCCGAGCTGAGGCCAGGTTTTCAGTCCCAACCATTGCTTGGTTGCCATGAGCACATTCTGGTTTCATTGCTGACTTATTAGAGCCGTGGTCTACAAACTGCGGCTTGCGAGCCACATGCAGCTCTTTGGCCCTTTGAATGTGGCTCTTCCACAAAATACCACAGCCTGGGCATCTATTTTGAAGAAGTGGCATTAGAAGAAGTTTAAGTTTAAAAAATTTGGCTCTCAAAAGAAATTTCAGTCGTTGTACTGTTGATATTTGGCTCGGTTGACTAATGAGTTTGCCGACCTCCGTACTAGAACATCTTCCTGCATCTCTACATTATAGTGACATTTCGTTCTTTGAGGACAGATGCTGCTACTTCAAGTAGAACTTCATTCAGGCAATGGCAGTACTATTACTTGCATTTTTTCCAAGAGAAGCACCTGAAGCCAACAGGCCATTGTTGGCCAGTTTGTACTATTGTGCTTTGGTATTTATGTCCTTGTCAAAAGGGAAATTAGGATACTGCCAGTACCAGCTAGTTGAGGGGAAATAGACATTAGAACTTTTAAAAAATTAATAAATTTTCACCTCTAGGAAAATTAATGGGATATTGCTGCATAATGTGTACATTATTATAGTTTATAAGAATGACCAAATATATATATATATATATATATATATATATATATGTGTGTGTGTGTGTGTGTGTGTGTGTGTGTGTGTATATATATATATATATATATATATATATATCATATATATGGGGAGAGAAGTGACAAAAGTAGATTTGCAATTTTAAGTTTACTTTTTTATTATTTATTTATTATTGAATTGTATTATTATTATTATCATTATTATTATCAACCTACTTTTACCCACCTCTGTATTTGGTCTTCCACAATTCCTGGGTCACAGCTCCTAAAATCCTTGGAATATCCCAAGTATTTTGAGTGATGAGGGTGACTTTTGTTTTGAGGTGATTTTGGAAGCACCTAAGGATGGCAGCTGGTTGCCAGGAGACAATCATGTTATTAGAGGGTTGAAACTTTCAATTGATTGTTCCTCCTATATCCCCACGCCTATCTCCAGTGATAGGAGAGGTGCTAGCCATTGAATCAATCACCAATGGACAGCGATCCGTCAATCATGAATGACTGTGTAATGAAGCCTCTATAACAACCCAAGATGACAGGCTTAGGAGAGCTTCCAGGGTGAAGAACATGTGGAGATTTGGGGAGAGTGGTGAGCCTCTAGAGGGCATGGAAATTCCCTGCCCTTTCCCCTTGCCTTGCCCTGGGCATCTCTTCCAGGTGGCTGTTCCCTAGTTACAACTTCCATGAGTTCTCTCCTTACACTGGTGACCTAGTAAGTTACATGTTTCTGTGTGTTCTGTGAGCTGTTGTGGCAGAATAATCGAACCCAAGGAGGGGTTGTAGGAACCTCTGATTTATAGCCAGTTGCTCATAAGTATAGATGACAACCTGGATTTGCAATTGGCATCCTGCGTCGGAGGGACTCATTGGAACCTCCAGTTGGTCAGAAGCATGCGGCTGGTATCTGAAGTGTGTGTGTGTGTGTGTGTGTGTGTGTGTGTGTGTGGAGAGTGTGCAATATTGTAGGGCTGAACCCGTAACCTGATGCTTTTTCTGGGTAGATAGTGTCAGAATTGAGTTGAATTCTTGGAACTCTGAAAATTGTTGGTGGAGATCCCTGTCCTCCACATTGGAATTGGGTCTAGGAACCCTTTTCCTTATATAACTGACCCAGAGGAGAGACCCTCGGCTCAGGGGATATATTTACTAATTCAAGGCTAGAATTTACTAGAACACAGTAAAAAAAAAAAACAAAAAAAAAAAACCTTAGGCTGATTACTATTCTTTTACTCTTCCCATAAACTGATAGTTTATTGGTATTTGATTAAGTTCCAGTAGGCAACAAGGGGTATATGCCTACTGTAAGGGTGACACTTGGAATTTCTCAAGTGTTTTAATTTTCCCAAATGTTTGAAATATGCCTACTGTAAGGATGACAATACCAGGAATAGGCACTCTACGCGCCGTATTTACCAGACCTTGCTCCTTCAGATTACCACTTATTCTGATCGATGGCACACGCACTTTCTGAGCAGCACTTCAAAATGTAGGAAGAAGTGGAAAATTGGGTCTCTGAATGGTGTGCCTCAAAACAAGAAAAGTTCTATTGGGACGGTATCCACAAATTACCTGAAAGATGGGGGAAATGTGTAGCTAGCGATGAACATTACTTTGAAGAAAGCACTTTTGATGTTTCTCTTGAAATTATCGTGTTTTCACTGGTTGCAAAATTCACATTATTAACCGGTATACCTGGTAGACCAAAAGGTACCATGTCTCATTAAAAGAGTGTTGAATGACAAGATCATAATAACATTTCGGAACCAGATTTTTATTTTTGTTTCTAGGTAATCGAGACAGTGATGGAAGGGAAAGTATTGAGATTATTGATAATACACTGTATAGTTTATCATAAAAGGACCTCCCTACATTATCACGCAGGGCCTGCTCGGAGTTAGCAAACCTGGATTTGTTGTCATCTCTTCCTAACACAGGTGTTATGTTTAGAAGCATACCGTGTACTGTTATGTACTGTGTTTTCCAGGCTACCTTGGACCCACCTGCTTCATGTGGCTTGTGCAGAATACTCACCCACCTTGCTCTCCACTTTGTGAGCTTCTGTAGTGTCTGTAGGTGTGTTCGGTACCCTTTGCACTGCACACGTTCCTATTGCTGCATATTGTTTCACTGATTAGTCTGAAGGCCTCAAGTTGCTTATGAGTTTGGTGAAAGCCAGCTGGGTCTTAGTCATGCACTGTGTGGAGATACTGTGTGGAGAGTAACTGCTCTAAACATTGCCTAGGATTTGCCTGATTCTCGGTACTCACCTTGGTTTTCTTTCCCATTCTCAGGTTCTTTTTGTGCCAGATGCCAACTTTCCCTCTAGTACCTTAAAGTTATCATCATCCAGCCCTGGTGCTACTGTCTCTCCTTCATCCTCAGATGCAGAATATGACAAACTACCTGTATGTATGTCATTCATGTACTGAAGTGCATATTTGTGTATGAACTTATAAATATAGACTATACAGGGTGTCCCCAAAAATGTAAACACATTTTGTATGATTATAAAGTCAGTGTTTATTAACATACAGTTCATTTTCAAAATTTATAAGAATCTGCAGAAATGAATATTTTATTTTGTCAGTGCCTGTTTTCAAACTGAAAACCGTTCTGATCCACACACTGCTGATAACTTGAAGCAATGGAATTGCAAATATCAAGAATCATTTCGTTTGGTATTTCTGCACCTTCAATTTATTGACTGTTGCTGGTTTTGTACCATAAACTATAATTTTGTGTGTCCCCATTAAAAAAAAAAAGTCTAGTGACACTAGGATATATTTTCTTTGTTCAAAGCATATATTGGCTTCATCCATTATTTCAAGACATTTAAACCTGAAAAGGAGCGAAAATGAAGCGAGTTAGCAGCCATTATAGAGTGTATTCATTTTTGGGGGACACCCTCTATGTTCCATGTTCTTTTTCTCAAGATTTCAACTTAAAATTTCCCTAGAGGAGTGGAGTTAAGTGTAACTTGTTCTTTTTAAAAATATATATTTTATTCATTTTTTACAGAGAGGAAGAGAGAGGGATAGAGAATCAGAAACATCGATGAGAGAGAAACATCGATCAGCTGCCTCCTGCACACCCCTCACTGCAACCAATGTACATGCCCTTGACCAGAATGGAACCTGGGACCTCTCAGTCTGCAGACCGATGCTCTATTCACTGAGCCAAACCAGTTTCGGCTGTAACTTGTTCTTAATTGAGAGAATGCATTTTATCCAGAAGAAACCTGTTCAACTTTAAAGTCTCACAGGCAAAACACATGCCTGTTTACATAGTTAGGAAGTGAAAGTCTCACCAGAACTGGTAGTTTGTTTGTACTACTTTTACTCCTTTTTCTAAAGAAATTGAACCATGGTTAAATGTGAATTCTGTTATTTTCTAAGATATTGGACGAGCCACTTTTTATGGGTTCATAGATATGCACTTTTTATAAATTTTCAGTTTGACTTACATACTTGTTACACATATGTAATATTTTTGAATGACAAAAGACATTTGCCTTATTTATGTTTAAGTTAAATAGAAGTAGGTTCCTTACCAGGAACTTATAATTTATATAAGTAATCTGTTTTGAGAAATTGCTTCTATTTGATTTTGGAAATGTTTGGTTTCTAAAGGATGCTGACTTAGCAAGAAAGGCCATAAAACCCATTGAAAGGGTCTTATCTTCTACTTCTGAAGAAGATGAGCCTGGTGTGGTAAAGTTTTTAAAAATGAATTGTCGATACTTCACCGATGGAAAGGTATGTGGCAGTGTAATTTGTTTCCTTTTCTTGGAATCTATGGAAAACTGAGCTACCTTTTAAATTCCTGAAGGCAGGCTACCTTAAACTATCTCACCCCGTTTCAGCATAAGATTTCACAAATGCCCATTAGCTTTCCCCAATTGAATGCCTGGCATTTTACTTGCTGAGGGAAATGTGATCAGTGAATGGAAATATGCTTTTTTGTGACCCTGGACTCAGCATTTTACTTTCAGTTCTTGGCCTATGAATTGTTAGCGAGATAGTGTAGTATATGTTTAACAGCAAATGATGGAGTCAGACCCATTGAATTTAAGTTCCAGCTCTGCCACCCATTAAATCTGAGACCATGGGCATGGTGTTTACATTCCCTGAGCTTCCATTTTCCTCAACTATAAAATAGGAACAGGAATAAAATTTAATACTGGGGTATTGCAATAAAAAGGGAAAATTCATGTGAAGAGTTTAGTATCTAACCTGGAAAATGGTGAGTTCTCCATCCTTCTGCTGGAGATGCTGGTATTAAAATGTCTGCTGTTGTGTGTTTAGTTTTTTGGTGTTTTTTTGTTTGTTTTTTTGGTTTGTTTGTTTTTACATAGAGCAATACCAACTTTAGTAAGCCTCTGAAGAAATGGTTATGTTGATAAAATGGAATTCCTATTCTCATAGTAGAGATGTTCTGGTAGGTTCCAAACAACAGGAAAATGTGGTATTGATATTGACTTACAACCTTTTCAGTCAAGAACAAGTCATGCTTGAGATGCATAGCTTTTTGCAAAGATTATTACTGCAGTCCTTAAGAATACAAAATAAATTATTTTCCTAAAAGGAGTCACCTGTATCCTCCTCTCTTTGGCAGATAATATCCCTGTGGCCATCCAGGTCTATAATATAAACTGACCATGCTTCAGACTTTTAAGTTCCCACAAAACTGTTGGATTTTGCTTTGAATTTCCATAGTTCAGCTGTATGCACTTCTGCAAAATTTTATATTCCTGTTTGTGTCCAATTTTCCTGGATGTAGGCTTTTCTAAACATTTTAGAGAGAAATACTAGGACTGTTCTTGGCACCGTGACTTGGAGACAGCTGCTCCCTTAGCACAGTACCATACACTTGTTGGACACATGGCGAATACATGCTGAGTGAATGAATTGTAAAGCACCTGGTTCCCCATTGGGAACGCATCTGGGACAGCCCCTCTTATTTTACAGACAGGAATTGGGGAACATGAAACTTATATGTGTAACCCAAGATCCCACCACAATTACACTACTGTAGCAGCTGCACCAGAACCAGGCTCAGATGATTGCCACAGATTTTCTCTGCCTCACCACACAGCACCCAACACTGCATTTCTCCAGCCTGTTTCTCCAACCCTCTTAGAGGGGATGTGATTGTCATGTAGGATTCTGTGGTTCACCCAAGTCAATGAATGACAGCATGAGTTCATGAAAGCTCCTGTGACGGTTGCATTTCTGCCTGTAATGATTCTGTCCTGCAGGGTGTGGTCGGAGGCGTCATGATTGTCACTCCTAACAACATCATGTTTGATCCTCACAAGTCCGACCCCCTGGTCATTGAAAATGGGTGTGAGGAGTATGGCCTCATTTGCCCCATGGAAGAGGTGGTTTCCATTGCCCTCTACAATGACATTTCCCACATGAAGATCAAAGATGCCTTGCCATCGTAAGAGACATTTCTTGTTTATCAGGAAAAAAGGGAGGGGGCAGAGGTTCTTGGGAGAATTAAATGCAAGTAAAAGGTGAGAGCATTGGCAGGAGCAAGAGATTGTGTGGAGATGAATTTGAAGGTGGGGATTGGTGCACTAATAATAGAAAGGGGAGGTACATCGTTACAGAAAGATTTCTCTCCTTGTGAGATTGTGTTTGATGATCCAGGATACAGGGCTAATGCCATAGCTGGGGAGAGAGAAGAGTTAAGAATTGACTGCTAATGTGCTGATATTATTTCCAAGTTGTACATTGATTCCCACCTTGGACGCAAATATATAAAGACATTTCAGTCTGATGAACAGTGAGCAAAATAGGTTGTGTGAGTGGAATCAGTGTGAAACGAACTTAGTGTTATTGGCTCAGAATTTCATCACTTGTTTGTTTAAAAGTTTAAAATAGCTTAAAATTTTATTATTACTAAAAAATGCCTAGTAAAACAATTATAAATTAGCTGCAGTGTGCAAATAGTTTTTAAGTATGTGTGTGTAAAATCTCTTCATCCTCACTTTTAGGGCTTTGGATTTTTTGTGTAGGACATTTTGAACTCCAGCTGCCTATTGATCACCATTAGGTTTCTGGCTGAGTCTAGAAAACATTGATCAAAAGCAGATTTGGTTGACACAACTATGTACTTTGCCCCAGCAGTACTTGGCAGCTGCAGTGCAAAAACAAAACAAACAAAACAAAAAAAAATAGATGACTAAATTAATCTCAGCTTGGAATAGGTAGAAGAACTAGAAGGGAGGGGTACACAAAAAAGGCAGTACGGGAGGCTGATTAGAGTGCAGTCCAACGTATTCTTTCTGGGGGTCAAGCAAGGTAAATAAGGAAGCGGTGAGGAAGCAGTTTGGATGATAATGGAAGAAAGTTTTGCTTTAACACCAGGTATGTGAAGAGATAGATTTCTTTGTTGCAGAACTTCCTGTAGCCTTTAATATGAAAAACTAAATTTTGGTCCTAATATGGGAAGGATACCACCTTACACATTTGTTTGACTCTAGGACTGAAGCATCTTTAACATCTGGATGCTGGTGTTGGGCGGTACATTTCTGTGTGTGCGGGTTCCTGCGGAACAGACATTGTCAGTCACTGTTAGCTTGTGGCACTTAGGGGCTCAGTGACTACTTACTGAGTTGAAGTGAATTGTGAATTAAAGAGGCTCTTGAAAGCATTTGTCAGAGTCGAGCAATTATGTAGGCTCTTTTCTATTACAAAAAGCATGGATGTTCCGTGCAAGTGATTTATTAAATAACTGGGGAGATAGTGTTGTAACTTGAGAACTTAGTGGTCCTTTGTTGTTTTATTGTCATAATTATTTCAAAGCCAGGATAATAAAGTATTACCTGAATATTATCTAGCCTTTTTTAGAAAAAGAAAATGATTTCCTAAAAAGTTTTTAGCAAAGGTTCTTATATCTCTGTGTTTTAACACTAAGATAAGTGAAAATCTACTTGAGACACATAGGTTACTCAATATATTTCCCAGTCATAGATTAACATGTGTGGGTTTTTTTTTTAACAATTATTTTAAATTTTGGAAAACATGTTTAATGAAAATTTTTGTATAACTCAAACTGGGTAGTAAAGAAAAATAAATGGACTGCAGCCCAGGACAGTACGTTTCAGCTCATAAACCAACTTCCCATTACCATAAAATAAGATGATAACGGTTATAAAATAAAAGAGTTAAGAAATGCAAGCTTCGCTAAGAAATGTAAACTAAGTATTCTAAGTAAGAGTTTAGTTGGTTTATTTACTTTTCTATAAATTTTTAAGTTATAAAATGGAACAGGGACTCTATAGTCACACTCATAGTGGAAGCTTCCTCTTATTGCCTTGGGAATAGAAGGATGTCTGTTTTTGGAAGCATTGGATCCTAAGCCACGAAACCCAAAAGTAGGGTTCAGGGTCAGCCACTGTATAGGATGGTTAAATGGATAGCTACTCAAGGAGCCATTCAGAATTAATGCAGTTGGTTTACGTACTCTTTTATAAAAAGAAAAGGTTTTAAATATTTAAGGACGTTTAGTCATAGTACTAAAGCCTCTCCTCTCCTTTATGAGAATCAGAAGCATTATTTCACTATTGGAAGTCGGTGGGAGACATCTCCATTTTCATTAATGACTTCCCAAACCCTCCATGTCTACTAGCAGGATGTGCAGCTTCCATGGTTCTTTGTTTTGCCACTTCTTATGTTCCATTTTGAAGTTAATTTTTAAATTTCATTTTCTTATTCTGAAATCATTTAAACATATTTCAGTTGCAGTCTATGTTTTGGTTTTCAGCTGGGTTTTGCTTTTGTTTTTTTGCTTTTCCTCCATCTTGTTTTTGTTTTGCTTTTAACATTCCATGTGCACCCACCATTTTTCCCTCAACAGTGACCTACCTCAGGATCTTTGTCCTCTGTACAGGCCTGGAGAATGGGAAGACCTGGCTTCGGAAAAGGATATCAACCCCTTTAGTAAGTTTAAATCCCTCAGCAAGGAAAAACGGCCTCACAGTGGGGAGAGAACCATCACTTCCGATTCCAAATCCACAAGGCCTTTGGAGAAACCAACAGAAAACACACACGTGAAGCCCTCCAGCAGCTCTGGGTCAGGACAGCTAAAGGACCTGGAATCCTCTGTGGAGGCAACCATGGGATCTCCCACAGCAACTCCAGCCGGCAAGCAGCCTCCTGGCCCTCCTACTGAATTTCAGTCTATCGCCAAAGAAAATCCCCCTTTCGGAGAAGAAGATGACTTTGTTGACTTGGATGAACTGCCTTCGCAAAATGATAGCGGGATGGACAAGAGAGATACCCCAAAGGAGGGCCTTTCTCTCCATCCGGAGGAGCAAAGCGAGGCTGAGTCACAGGTCATCAGTTCTGCTACCAACACGCAGGCGCAGACGGCCCTGAGCTTTTCAAGAACAGAGAGTGATGCTGAACTGAAGGGGGCCCTGGATTCAGAAACCTGTGAGAAACAAGATAAAATGCCCGAGGTGGACAAGCAGTCTGGTTCTCCCGAAAGCCAGGTGGAGAACACATTGAACATACATGAAGACCTAGATAAAGTTAAACTCATCGAATACTACCTTAGTAAGAACAAAGAAGGGTTGCCTGATAACTTGGAGAAGGCAGAACCTTGTGATGGCCAAAGGACTGAGCCAGGGGGAATAGACATCACGCTCAGTAGTTCTCTTCCCCAAGCCGGTGAGCCCCCAACGGAGGGCAACGAAGAGCCGGATAAAAACTGGGGAAAGGAGAGAGCGCCCCATCCCCTACAGCTGGGCTCTTCTCCAGAAGACAATATAAGTAAAGAGTCTCTAGGCAACTCTTTGGAATGTACCCCGGACAAAAGCGGCCAGGGCGCACAGGTGGATAATAAGTCTGAAATCCAGTTATGGCTGTTAAAGAGGATTCAGGTACCCATCGAAGGTAAGCCACTTCTGTTTGCTGTCTTTCTGTTCTGTTGGGGAGTCGGCCTTTCTTAAATCAGCACGTGCACAAGTAGTACAATCATTTGAGAGCAGTGTTTTCTCCACAGAGCATATCTTTACTGATAAATTAATACTTGGGGAAATTAGCAATATATGCTATCTAATTTGGAACTTGAAATAGGGCAGATTTCTGTTTTAAAAGTAGTTTGCTTTTTTTTTTTTTTTTAAATCTTTCAAGTGAATTTCCTTCTTGACATTGGATTTCTAAATGTAAAGGAGTTTAAAATATTTTTTAAGATAGTTCTTTCTAAACTGTTGTATTATGGTGTGACTGGGTCCTCAATATCCTTCTTGTATTTTTGCCTGGCCAGGATGGCTCAGTGGTTGAGTGACAAACTGTGAACTATAAGGTCACAATTCGATTTCCATTCAGGGCACATGCCCGGGTTGCGGGTTGTGGGCTGGATCTCCAGTGGAGAGCATGCAGGAGGCAGCCAATCAATGGTTCTCTCTCATCATTGATGTTTCTATCTCTTTCTCCCCTCTTCTTTCCTCTCTGAAATCAATAAGAAATATATGTTAAAGAAAAGTATTATTGTGTCTTGTCACAGTTGTTCACTGGTTGGTGTTATGTTGGTTTTTATGCTTATTCACAGTACGTAGCATCTCAAATGATATAGACCGAGCTGAAACGTCCAAAGTTTTCTCCTTTTGTGCTCATGAAACTCCTTTCGGGCTCTGAAAAATTTAATTAGTCCCAATGTGATGATGCTGTGTGATGTTTCCGCCATATGTTTTGACTTTTCATCACTGTGAGGGGATTAAACGCTATTCATTGTAAGTTGAAAGGTTTTGCTGCCACCAATGTTGTCAGTATTGAGGCAGATATTTTGCATGTGTGATTCAGATATACTTCCTTCAAAAGAAGAGAAAAGCAAGACTCCACCCATGTTCCTGTGCATTAAAGTGGGAAAACCGATGAGGAAATCTTTTGCCACGCACACGGCAGCCATGGTCCAGCAGTACGGCAAGCGAAGGAAGCAGCCCGAGTACTGGTTCGCTGTTCCCCGGGAGCGGTGAGTGCGAGCCAGCATGGAGAACCTGCTGGTTTGTTCAATCCTAATTGCATCCTAAGGTGTTTTGTTTGTTTGTTTTTTACTTCATCGGAAAATACTTCATTTTATTCTTAAATAAGAGATTTCTCTTGTACATTTTACAATTTCCAGAAGCATATTATTTGGGGGTAGCTTTCTGCTACTGGTCTTCATAGAACTGCGTGCTGAACCACTTTCATAACTTTCTAAGCAGCTGAATTTTAAATGAAGGAAGAGCTACCAGTAGATATTCTCAAATGCTGGTAATTGGAAGCGTTCTTCCGTTAAAAATTCCTTGGAGCAGATCCACACCCCTCTAAGTGCCGTGGAGAGGCCTGAGTGTAATTTTTAAAGTGCTCATTATTCTGGGGAACTGAGGATTGCATGGGCCTCGTGGAGGGCGTGTCTGACTCGGCAGCTGGAGAATGGGACATGAGATTGTGTGATGGGTTGAAGGAATGCACGCCTCCAGAGAGATTTGTATTATAAATTGCCAAAGAAGAAATGTTATTGGTTGTTTCACAGTCCAGGATGGCAGGTAGTGGCATAGGAATTCTTCAGCGGTGCATCCCTGAACACATTTTTTATAATAAAAATAGGGGGCATTATTTTAGAAAAAACTTTCTTCCTTTGTATAGGTGGTAGACTAAAAATGTCTTTATAAAGGCCTTGCAGTTGGTTTTTAAAATTGTTAAACCCGCACATATTTCTTTTTCCTAATTATTCTTCCAACCTCCTCATCTGGGCAGACATTTTGGCACACATCTGCCAAGAACACACGTACTTGGCAGGCTTCCTTGAGCATGAATTGCTCCTAAAGCAAAATTAATTCCCAAGCATAGGTACATTTTTGGGCTGATTAGAACCCAGAATGAGAATTCTCATCAGGAATTGCCTCATTTTAATAAATTATAACTTAATCTGGAAAATAAATAGGATTAAAGTGTTTAGAAAAATTGATAGAATTTTAATTCATGACTATTTTTTGCTGTCTTAGACACAAATCCACGTTAACATGAACATTAAACAATTTGTTTTGTATTTATATAATATACTCCTCTACTGTGCCTGCAATCCTCATAGTATCTCATTGAAACTATTAAACAGGGATACTGTGAAGAAAAAAAGAAATGTGTCCTTTGTTGTTATTTTAAAATGTTTCAACAAAAGCAGTGTAAATCTGTGAAGCCCTGTTAAAATCAGTGTTTGAAAGTCAAGTGTCACAGCTACATAGTACCTTAGAGATTTAAGCCAATTCCTGATTTTTTAGGTCTAGAAAACAAGCATGGAAACTCTCGTCTACGTGAACTTCTGGGGTCTATCAGAAAAACTACGTATCTTATATGCCACTTTTTCTCTGGGAAAATATATTATAGGAAAGGGACTCTTCTAGAATAATTAGAGCAATCTCACACTTGTAGTTAATCCTATGGTCATTCTTTAACCCAGAAGAAGTCTGTAATGCTGAGGTGGTATTTCTCTAACCTTTCATGCAAGTGGTTTTGGTGAGCTTTTTAAAGTAGGCCACTTGTTAAATTCTATTGTACCATATTTTACTGTGTCCTTGCCTTATTTGGCTAGCAAACTACTTGGCAACACTTCGTCTTCTTTCTTGAAGCAACTATTAATTAACCAAAGATTGTCTGGGGGGCATTATATCACACTGTGTTAATTATGGGTTTTTTGTATAGATGTTTGGAAATTTTTGTTTTAATTGCTCCTTTATGTATTTCCAATTCTACCTACCCTAAAGGAAGCCACATTGTAATTTTAGGCTGGAAAAGATAGAGAAACCCTGTAGTTAATTCCCACCCAGAACTCCAAGTACATAGTAAGAAGTTTATTTTTATTTTTGATTTATGAACTTCTTCGGGACTTAGACTCAACAAAGTCCTTAAGGAGCCAAGAAGTGGCATGCAGTGATTTTCTTAATCTGATGATGATTTCTGGTTCCCTTGCTACTTGAAACTGAGTGTTTCTACTTGCCTTCCTACTTAATGGATCCTTGCACTCACTGGAGTGTTAGTAGCAGAGTGAAAAAGAGTCATCCTCCAGAGAAAGCCCCTATATTGGCTGTGAAACAACAGCAGGTGTTGGACATGGGTTCTGCAACCTCAGTACTTGGGTTCTGGCTAAGAAATAATTCCGAGCCAAGACTCAAACTATGAGAGAAAATTTATTTAGAAAGTCATAGAGGCAGAAGAAGTAAGCCTAAGAAGAAATGGGCTCAGGAAAGGAATTATAGACACAAAAGAATAATCCTTGGAGCTTGCTAGGGTGAAGGGAGGGGGGAACGCACTGTGGGGAGGGGAAGAGAGAAAGAGGAAGAAGGAAGAGGAGGAGGAGGAGTTGAAGGAGAAGGAGAAAGGGAGGGAGGGAAAGAGAAAACGTGTAGGATCCTTGTCTTAAGGGCTTTTATCTGGATACATTTTTAGGAGATATCCTGTATATATTTAATTCTTAAAAATTCTAAAATGCCATGTTTCTCTAATCACCTTCTAATTAAGATAATCAAGCCCTTTGATTTATAAAGGATAGTTATATTTTATGCCTGTCCACATTTAGTATAAGCTCATTATATATGTTAAATTTATTGTTTTAGCAAGCATGATATTTCCTTACATGTCAAAAATAATTGAAGTTGCCACGCACTTTTAAATATTTTTTTTTATGCTTTCAAAATTAAAATGGGTAATGTACCCATGAGCCCACAAGAATCTGTCCTTTTGAAAGGTGCTTGTCCATATTGTATATATACAGGGGTAGGCAAAAGTAGGCTTACAGTTGTACAATAATAAATCATACAAGAATACATTGTATTGTGTATTCACACGGTGAACCTCTTTTTTTGCCAAACACTGTATTTTTCAGGTCCCATTTGTGAGCAGTAGCAGTACTTCCTGCAGTGTGTATGAGCAGACAGTTGAAGCTGTTAATTACACGTTTTATTTAGGCTGACAGGTCACAGAAATGGAGTAGGAAAGGGATTCTCCATACACTCAAAGTCATTTGTTGGCTAATGAGGGAATGGAAATTTGCAGCATCCCCAAACTTACTCATCTCCTTGGATTTTGTGTTTCAGGGATCATGGGCAGAGGAAGTGACTGATATTTGATGGGTGACACCCATGTATGCTCATTAATTGAATGGAGAGTGATCTACTCCAAATTGTATGGAAACAAAGAGCTTGGCTAAAACGTCCTTTTTCTGATAGCAGATGTTTTAACTTAGTTGCAGGCTGGTTATAGCCGGGCTCATTATTAGAATGAACTTCTATGTGCCTTATAGCAGTTATTTGGCCAAAATGTTGTCCTCTGGAGCTAGTATCACAAGATCCAGTTACCTTATTTTACATGATTTTTTTTTTTTTTTTAGAATAGAAGTCATTTCTTTTTCTTTTCTTTTTCTTTTTTATTTTAAGAAGTCATTTATTTTTTAAAAATATATTTTATTGGTTTTTATTTTATTTTATTTTATTTTTACAGAGAGGAAGGGAGAGAGATAGTTAAAAACTTCAACCAGCTGCCTCCTGCACACCCCTATTGGGATTGTGCCCGCAACCAAGGTACATGCCCTTGACCGAAATCGAACCTGGGACCTATTCACTGAGCCAAACCGGTTTTGGCTTACATGACTCTTATGAACACAGCACCATGTACCTCAGCTGCAATTTCCTATTCATTAGTTCCTCCACTTAAAATCTGTTTTGTACCTTATGGCCGCAAAAATCTTATAGAAAGGTATTTTGATCTTGTCACAATTGCCAAAAAAAATATCTTAAGGCTTCAGGATTAAAGTTTAAACCCCTCTTTTGCTCTTACAGCCCTTTGCACACTGACCTACATTTCTAGCCTTTTCTTGGTTTGCCTGAATCTGCAGTTTTATTGAGATTGGTTACTTTATGAGTTTTACCCAACAAGTCTAGGACCTTTGTAGACTGGCACGTTTTTCAAATACTACTTCCTAAACTCCAGTAGTTCCTCTCTCTTCTCTACTGGTGTATATCCTTGTTTCCCAAAACAATACACTCTACAATGATCTCTCCCTACACTGGCAATTACAGTCCTCTCCCAACTTGTCTGGTGAGCAGCCCACAGGCACAGAAGCACTGGAGGGAGGCATCAAAGTCTGGCCCTTTCCCCTCTCACAGTCACAATCGATCTCAGTTTCTAAATTCTGAAATGTGTGGACTCACGCCTTTGGAGAAACCTGTTCTGTTTCACAAATATGAAAATGTTTGTAGTTAACAAAGAACCCATGGCTTAAATCAATGGATGACAAACGTAGCTTTGTAATAAAATCATATAGGAGCCTGTAAACATAGAGTCCTCAGGTCCTTCACACATCCTGCTGCTTTGGATGTGGGTTATAATCTCTTAGTCATTCTCCATAAGGTGATGCACAAAGGGGCATTATTTTGTTCTTGTTTTATGTGAACCTTCTGTAGCATTTGACATCATTTACCATCCCCCAATTGACATTCTCTTTCCTCCTAACATCCCTTCCCCGTCTTTTCTTCCTTTTTTTCTCATTAAACATTACCCTTTAAATGGCCTTCTCTCTTTCTCAATATACACAGTTGCTTGCACCTAATTAATTCTTTCTTATATGCCCATTATTTAAAGCTATCTTAGAACTTTGTATTGTGCTTCAAACACATATCTACCTAGTAGTCTTCAATTTGGGGACCATCCACGGATGGAATAAACACAAGACAGATCATGCCCCAAATTGGTTTTCCAATTCCCATCTTTATCCCTGCCACTGACCCCAGAACTCCTGCCTCCTGTGTTCTCCGTCATGGTAACTGGTACCACCAGCCATTCAGTCCCCAGGGCCAGAATGTGGGCATGAGCATGCTTCGCAGTCATCTCCCCACATCGGTCATTCACCTCATCCAGCTAATATTATTCAGTTAACATCTCTGGATCTCTTGCTCCCATATTGGCCCTTCTGTGGATAACTAACTGTGTGTCAACTGT